AGTGAAAAAGTGGAAAAGTGAAAAAGTGAGAGGAGCCTGACAGAGACAGAAGTAAAGAAGAGTAGAGAATCAGTGAGTGAGACGGAAGAAGTGAAGTATAAAGGCGCTGCAAGGCATGTGGCTGCATGTGCGGCGGCAGCTCGCAGGGCAAAAATAGGAAGTGAGACAATAGTGAAGCGCAATGATCAGCTAGAAGTAGCTAGTGAAGAAGAAGAAACAATAGTGAAGAAAGCGGAAGCAAATAATAATAAAGCCAATGAGCAATTAATAACCAGAATTAAAACAGTATCAGAGCAAACATTAGATGCTAATGAACAACAACAACGGGAAGAAAATAATAATAAAGAAACAATAAAAACCTCAACTGTGCAAATAGTGAATCAGCAACAAGAAATACAAAGTGTTCAACCAATAACAATACTAAAAGTAGAGAACATACAAAGAATACAACAAATACAACAACTACAAAACAGCAAGCACAACAGCAGCAGCAACTACAACAGCAACCACAACAGCAACCACTACAGCAACCACACAGCTACAGCAACAACAACAAAAGCAACCACAACAACAGCAAATAAAGCAACCACAGCAACAAAAGCAATCACAACACAAACAACACTACAATACAGCAACAGCTACAGCAACAACAAGAACTGCAAACACAGCAACAGCAACAAACAACAGCAACTACAGCAGCAACAGCATCTACAAACAACAACAGCAATTACAGCAGCAGCAGCAACTAAAAAAGTTCTACTTATACAACTCAATCTAATGAAACAAAACTTGGAAAGAGGCGAACAGAAATAAAAAATATGGAATCTAATCCTAAAAACGATCTCAATACCAGAAGAAGATCCAATGAACTGTGACCAAATATATGAGATGGAGGTCGATACTCAAACTAACAAGCGACACTACCAGACATCATCAGATGACAACAGCGATGACGACTACGACCTACTACCAGTGAGGAAGAAGAAGACCAGGATGAAGGTGAACAATTCAAAATCTTAATGAATGAATTTTGCAGAATAAAAACAATCAACGAACAATATCAAACACCATCAGCAAAACAAATTACGACCAGCCATAGCAGAGCTCGACGAATGCGAATTCCCAGCCTTAAAACCAATAAGCCTGAAACCCAGACGACAAAACAACAAAACAACAAAGAGACTTCACACGCACAGATGACAACAGCAACAGCAGCAGAAGCAGCAAGCAGCAAGCAGCAGGCAGCAGAATCTGAAGCAACTTTAAACAACCTACCGGTAATTGTCATCTATAATGTCAATATACGTAAGATTAGAATTTGCTACCATTTAAGTACACTGTTAACATAATTAATAAGAACATAATGCATATTAAAGTATATACTATTGAAAATCTGAATCTAGCAAAAACCCTCTTCTCAAAAGAAAATTTCCTTTTCTTCACATACACACCAAAACAGTTAAAACCACATAACATAATTATTAAGAAATCCCCCCAGAAATCTTTGATATAAAGCGAAATTAAAGCAGCCCTTAATGATATCTTACCTGAGTTACAAATAATCTCAATAAGCCCTACAAAGAAAAATACTGGCAGGTTACTATAAAAAAATCGCCAAATATTAAAAAAATATTCGAAATAAAGTATCTTCTTAATTGTAAGGTAACCATAGAAGGCTTTAAGCCTCACCCAAATCATATTAGGCAATGTAAAAGATGCCAAAGATTTTCACACGTTGCTAGCAACTGTAATATGCCTTATAGATGCATCAAATGCTTAAAACCTCATGGTCCAGGCAACTGCGACCTTAAAAACCTGATAACAACAGTACGAACCACAAAATACAAAGCCCAATGTGTTAACTGTAAAGGAGAGCACACTGCAAGCGCGAAAATATGCCCCATTAGAATAAATCTTATTAAAAAAATTGCACAAAAAAGAAACCTAAGTGATCACAAAACAAGTCAAAATATTTAAAAAATGCACAGTTCAATAATAAAGATTCTCTCACTATTCCAAAATAGTGAACAGAATAACACTAACCTACATAATCACACATTCGACAGTCCTCAACAAAATACTATAGAAACAATAAACAATGACACCATCAAGACATATGGCAAAGATCTTGTCACTTGCATAAAATAATGCAAAGACTCTAATAATTACCCAAATGCAAGTAACGAAGAAGACAAAAATCGGATAATACTCGATTTTTATATTCAATATGGCACTAAATAAGTGAAGCTTAAATGCATCTTTCTTAATATAAACGGCATGAGACAGCTCAAAAAAAGAGCTGAACTCAATCATTTCCTGTCAAAACATAAACCCGATGTAATGCAATTAGCTGAGCACCATCTCAATCAAACTAACTCACCCATGCTGACAAACTACAAATTAATCAGACAAAACATAGCAACAGAAATAAATCGGAAAACTAACCAAGTGGCCATATGCTTAAAAAATAACATAAAATTTCAAAGAATAAATCTAACTCAAGCTAAAACAATTGAAGCCATAGCTATACAGATAACTCAAAAAATGCAAAATAACAAAACAAAAACATAATCATAGCAACACTATACAACACACCAAAAAACAAACTGCAAACTGAAGACTTGGACAAAATATACAATTCTTTAAAAAAATACCTCATATCAATAAAATAATTATAGGCTGCGACCTAAATGCTAAACACCCCACTTGGAATAAACCAACTTCTCCAAACAACACATCAATAGCGCAGGGAAACCCTATTCAATTGGGTAACAAACATTCCCGAACTTACCATCTGCCCACCCAATGAACCAACTCATCCAAATAAAGGAAGATACTCTTCTATAGATCTCTTCATAATCTCAACAATAACTGCATTCACTAACAACCTGCAAAGAGGCTGTACATTTTAAAAAACTTTTCCTCAGATCATCATGCAATAGAAATTCAATAAAAATCGTAACACACGACTACTCACTAACAAACCAAAATAATTCATAAATTTCAACAAATTGACTCTATAGCCTGGAATAGAACAATTCTTCAAAACATAATTCCAGTACCAAACCTCACAAATTTAAATAAAAATGATATTGATCAATACATTAAAAACCTAACAATAGCAATAGATAAAGCAATAAACAATCCACAAGCCATACCGAAAATAAAAATCAATCCAAATACTACGAATCATTCAATCCAATTAGGACCGAACTGCTTGAAGCTCATAAAACAAAAACATAACCTGAGAAGAATATTGCAAAATAAAATCATGACAATAACTAAAAATTGTAAATCCTTTATTAAACAAACTATACGAGAAATAGACTATCAAATTAACTTAATAATAGAAGAAACAGAACTCCAAATCAAGACTAGAAAAAATTAACACAAGCAAACTAAACCATAGAACACTGCATAACATTAACCCAAACTCAACCATAAAAGAACATCTCCAATCAAATATAATCCTGAACGACACTGAAAAAACGCAAATAGACATTCAAACAAACTCAAACATACTTACCTCCAATTTTGAAAAAATAAACGCAATAGCATGGTCCTTTGAACAAATCCATAAACAAAATGACAACATGACATCACAAAACACAGAACTAAGAGCACATAAGACAACAATACAAACAGAAATAGAACAACTAATTACGAACGATAACAAAATAACAACCTTTAACAATACACAAACAGCTGAAGGGAAATGGCAAGAAGCAATAGAACTAGGTTTCACAAACTCTGAAGAAATCCTCGAAATAATAAAAAATAAAAATAATAAGAAAACATTAGGACCAGACGGAACCAGTAATTTCCTGCTTAAATACTTCAATATACCAGTTATTTCAGAAATATGCAAAATTTTTAATCACTGCATAAACTGCTCTTATTTTCCCAAGCAATGGAAACATGGAAAAATAATTCCAATACAGAAACCAAAAACAAATCCACAACATCTAAAAGCTATAGACCCATCACAATACTCTCCGCCATAGGTATGCTATTTGAGAAAGTACTAATGAAAAACATTAAACAAGAAAGGAAGTTAACTTCGCCACGCCGAAGTTTATATACCCTTGCAGATAGAACTTCTATGACTAGGAATCCCTACAATATAAATTATATATATTTATGATTAAAAACAATGAAGTAACACCTGTTTTCATTTCATTCACCTAAACATATTATATTTGCAGTTCACAGATTTGCATTTTTCCTCTACATTAAACGAGCGGGTTTTGTGTGAAGAATTACTTTTGCATAAATTATATACAAGCATTGCTTGAAATATGTTAACTTTCTGTTATTTAAAAGCATACCAATTCTTAAAAATTTGCTTTACAAATATAGATCAACTTATTTTAATATATATTTTATATTGAGCAGTTTCGATCATCACCATTGTTGTGTTCTTTGTTTAGTAAGTTGTGCTGAATAAACTATTTTTGGGAGTTAAGAATACTTTACTATAAACAAATAAATGACACCATATCCCCGCTCGTCATGATCATCACGGCTCTTAAAGAGAGCTTGGAAGACTTTTCGAGATCAATAATAAGCTAGTCAACACGGCCAAGGGTATGGTAATTAAACAATAATTTAATATAAACCATATTTTCATCTTGACTTTTTGGGCCATGTTTTGGTTTCAATTAGCAAGAGATATTTTGTTAACGTCTTACCTTAATTAAGAAAACTATAATTTTTATGATTGCCACATCCACTTGATCAAAGTCTATCAACCACCAAGCACTAGATTAGTAATTTATATAAAAGAAGAAGAAGAAAACTAAACTTCCTCTAGCTAGAGCCTTGCTTAAGTGTAAGACTTGAGAATCGCAGAGGAGAGCGCTCAATGTACCAAATAATTAAGTAAAGCCTATCTTTCAGTCGAAAGCTTGAAACTTAGTGAAGGAGTCATTTCCGATCCTATTATTCATATATATTCTTGATCAGCATCAACAGCCGACTCGATCTAGCCATGGTTGCCACATCAACTTGATCAAAGTCTATCAACCACCAAGCACTAAATTAGTAATTTATATAAAAGAAGAAGAAAACTAAACTTCCTCTAGCTAAAGCCTTGCTTAAGTGTAAGACTTGAGAATCGCAGAGGAGAGCGCTCAATGTACCAAATAATTAAGCAAAGCCTATATTTCAGTCGAAAGCTTGAAACTTATTAAAGGCGTCATTTCCGATCCTATTATTCATATATATTCTTGATCAGCATCAACAGCCGAATCGATCTAGCCAGGTCCGGCATAAATTTAATTTTTTCATATTTTTTGACAATTTTAAATTTTTATAAGCGGTATCGTTAAAATGGTGAAAAATTGACGAAAATTTGAATTTTTTTAATTTTAAATTGAGTATGCAGATTTGTTACCCTAATAAAAACTGAAATTAATGCATTTTTGGCTTAGTTATGATATATTTAATATTTGACCTCTTAATACTTAGCTTACTTCAAAGGTATTAAGAAAATTATTCATGTTTTTTTTGTATATAAAATAAGTTTTTAATATATGATTAGTGTACTTACCTTGAACTTCTATGAGTAGGAATCCCTATAATATAAATTATATATATATATTTATGATTACAATGAAGTAACACCTGTTTTCATTTCATTCACTCTGTTTTCATTTGCAGTTCACAGATTTGCATTTTTCCTCTACACCAACGATCGTTTGTTTGGCACCTATATGATACTGTCGTCCGATTTTCATGAAATTTTACACAAAATTTAAGATTAATATAAAATGGCTACACCTCAAACTTGATGATGATCTGTTTAAAACTGAAATAGTTGTAATTTTTAATTGTATTAATTTCTCGATCGTTCCTATGGGAGCTATATGATATAGTAGTTCGATTTTCATCAAATTTTAGACAGAATTGTAGAGTATAATAAAATGGCTATATCTCAAATTTGATAAAAATCTGTTGTAAACTGAAAATGTTATAATTTTTTTGTAAAAATTTTCTGCTCATTCCTATGACAGCTATATGATATAGTCGTCCGATCTGGCCCGTTCCGACATATATATGAGTGAGAGTATATAAAAGGCTAACTACAAAGTTTCATTAAGATAGTTTTAAAACTGAGAGACTAGTTTGCGTAGAAACGGACAGACGGACAGAAGGACAGACGGACAGACGGACAGACGGACATGGCTAGATCGACTCGTCTGTTGATCCTGATCAAGAATATATATACTTTATATGGTCGGAGGTGCCTCCTTCATTGCGTTGCAAACTTCTGACTGAAATTATAATACCCTGCAAGGGTATAAAAACATATACAAGAAAATAATGTCCTAAATGAAGGCCAATTTGGCTTCAGGGAAGGCATATCAGTTAGCAATGCCTTCCATAGAGCTAACACCTTCATTTTCAAAAACATCCATAAAAAAAGAGGCACAGTAGCCTGTGCCCTTGATTTCGAAAAAGCATTCGACACAGTTTGGACTAATGCACTGATATACAAAATGAAATTATTAAACTTCAATCATAACATACTCAAAATCATCCATAGTTACCTAACTAATAGGACCTTTCATGTCACAAGCCAAAATCAAGAAAATTCCATAATAAGAAATATTACAGCAGGAGTACCACAAGGATCACTCCTAGGACCAATATTATACAATATTTATCTTCATGACTTGCCCAATTATATACAAACCCCCAAACCACAGTTGATATAATCCAATTAACATATGCAGATGACATTCTAATTCTCGGCTCTGGGGGCTCCACCGCAAGCCTAGAAGTAGAGTTCAACCTATATTTAGACAAGCTTTCAAAATATTTCACAAAATGGCAATTAAAGCTAAATTGTGATAAATGCACTAGCTGCTTCTTCAAAGGACCTAAAATCCAAAAACTATATAAAAATTCAAAATACTATAAACCCAAACTATTCATATATAATAACATTCTAATTAAATTCAATAAAGAACTAAAATATCTAGGGGTCACGTATGACGAAAAACTAAACTTTAAAACACATATAGACAATACCTTAATCAGAGCAAAATGAAAACAAAAGCCTTCTTCACATATTCATACCTAACAATAACAGAAATAACAAATTAGAACAGATTCAAATACTAACCTACCGCAAATTAATTCAACCAATCATACTATATGGCCATGCAGCATGGATGAGCATTAAATCAAATTTAATGCAAAAACTAAGAATTTTTGAAAGACAAATACTCAGAAAAGCCATCGATAATAACTGTAAAAAAACATATCAAACAAATTAATCTGCAAACGATCAAAGACAACTAAAATAGATGAACAAGCCTTTAAATCTTAGAAAACTTCGTAAAAACAACAACATAGACCAAACAGAAATACCAAATGATTACCCCATTGAACTGATTACACTAAATCACTTAGAAAACTTAAAAACAAAAAACATCATTTATGATACAAACAAAAACTTAATATTTTACCATAGAAAAAACAATTCAGTAAATCCAAGAGACGATTTAATATACCAGTAATGTAAACTCCCCCTGTAAATATTCCACTCCCCTTTGTGAATGACATCTTCGAGCGTATTGCTGCCGAGGCTTCTCGTCTGGCGCACTACAACAAGCGCTCTACCATCACCAGTCGGGAAATCCAAACTGCTGTTCGCCTGCTCCTGCCCGGAGAGTTGGCTAAGCACGCCGTCAGTGAGGGAACCAAGGCTGTCACCAAGTACACCAGCTCCAAGTAAATTTTCTCGCAGATGCGGAGGAACATTAAAAAGGCTCTTTTCAGGGCCACAACAAGTTTTACCAAAGAAACGAAATTTTCAAGAGCCTTATTCTTATTTAATACATAAATAAATGTAAAATTTTTAAAACTAAGTTCTGTTCTGCGGTTTTATAGGGTTAATAAATGTGCAATTTCAATATATATTATTAAAAATGTTCCAAAAATGTAGTAATATATTTTTTCCTCACGACCAACGCTATATCGATTCAGTTGTTGATGCTGATCAAGAATATATATGATTTATAGGGTCAAAAGTTAAAAGTGAAAAAGTGGTAAATAGTGAAAAAGTGTAAAAGTGGAAAAGTGAAAAAGTGGAGAGGAGCCTGACAGAGACAGAAGTAAAGAAGAGTAGAGAATCAGTGAGTGAGACGGAAGAAGTGAAGTATAAAGGCGCTGCAAGGCATGTGGCTGCATGTGCGGCGGCAGCTCGCAGGGCAAAAATAGGAAGTGAGACAATAGTGAAGCGCAATGATCAGCTAGAAGTAGCTAGTGAAGAAGAAGAAACAATAGTGAAGAAAGCGGAAGCAAATAATAATAAAGCCAATGAGCAATTAATAACCAGAATTAAAACAGTATCAGAGCAAACATTAGATGCTAATGAACAACAACAACGGGAAGAAAATAATAATAAAGAAACAATAAAAACCTCAACTGTGCAAATAGTGAATCAGCAACAAGAAATACAAAGTGTTCAACCAATAACAATACTAAAAGTAGAGAACATACAAAGAATACAACAAATACAACAACTACAAAACAGCAAGCACAACAGCAGCAGCAACTACAACAGCAACCACAACAGCAACCACTACAGCAACCACAACAGCTACAGCAACAACAACAAAAGCAACCACAACAACAGCAAATAAAGCAACCACAGCAACAAAAGCAATCACAACAACCACAACAACTACAAATACAGCAACAGCTACAGCAACAACAAGAACTGCAAACACAGCAACAGCAACAACAACAGCAACTACAGCAGCAACAGCATCTACAACAACAACAGCAATTACAGCAGCAGCAGCAACTAAAAAGTCTACTTATACAACTCAATCTAATGAAACAAAACTTAAAAGAGGCGAACAGAAATAAAAAATATGGAATCTAATCCTAAAAAACGATCTCAAATACCAGAAGAAGATCCAATGAACTGTGACCAAATATATGAGATGGAGGTCGATACTCAAACTAACAAGCGACACTACCAGACATCATCAGATGACAACAGCGATGACGACTACGACTCTACTACCAGTGAGGAAGAAGAAGACCAGGATGAAGGTGAACAATTCAAAATCTTAATGAATGAATTTTGCAGAATAAAAACAATCAACGAACAATATCAAACACCATCAGCAAAACAAATTACGACCAGCCACTAGCAGAGCTCGACGAATGCGAATTCCCAGCCTTAAAACCAATAAGCCTGAACCCCAGATGACAACAAACAACAAAACAACAAAGAAGACTTCACACGCACAGATGACAACAGCAACAACAGCAACAGCAGCAGAAGCAGCAGAAGCAGCAGCAGCAGAATCTGAAGCAACTTTAAACAACCTACCGGTAATTGTCATCTATAATGTCAATATACGTAAGATTAGAAATTTGCTACCATTTAAGTACACTGTTAACATAATTAATAAGAACATAATGCATATTAAAGTATATACTATTGAAAATCTGAATCTAGCAAAAACCCTCTTCTCAAAAGAAAATTTCCTTTTCTTCACATACACACCAAAACAGTTAAAACCACATAACATAATTATTAAGAAAATCCCCCCAGAAATCTTTGATAAAAGCGAAATTAAAGCAGCCCTTAATGATATCTTACCTGAGTTACAAATAATCTCAATAAGCCCCTACAAAGAAAAATACTGGCAGGTTACTATAAAAAAATCGCCAAATATTAAAAAAAATATTCGAAATAAAGTATCTTCTTAATTGTAAGGTAACCATAGAAGGCTTTAAGCCTCACCCAAATCATATTAGGCAATGTAAAAGATGCCAAAGATTTTCACACGTTGCTAGCAACTGTAATATGCCTTATAGATGCATCAAATGCTTAAAACCTCATGGTCCAGGCAACTGCGACCTTAAAAAACCTGATAACAACAGTACCGAACCACAAAATACAAAGCCCCAATGTGTTAACTGTAAAGGAGAGCACACTGCAAGCGCGAAAATATGCCCCATTAGAATAAATCTTATTAAAAAAATTGCACAAAAAAATGCACAGTTCAATAATAAAAGATTCTCTTCACTATTCCAAAATAGTGAACAGAATAACACTAACCTACATAATCACACATTCGACAGTCCTCAACAAAATACTATAGAAACAATAAACAATGACACCATCAAGACATATGGCAAAGATCTTGTCACTTGCATAAAAATAATGCAAAAGACTCTAATAAATTACCCAAATGCAAGTAACGAAGAAGACAAAAATCGGATAATACTCGATTTTATATTCAATATGGCACTAAATAAGTGAAGCTTAAATGCATCTTTCTTAATATAAACGGCATGAGACAGCTCAAAAAAAGAGCTGAACTCAATCATTTCCTGTCAAAACATAAACCCGATGTAATGCAATTAGCTGAGCACCATCTCAATCAAACTAACTCACCCATGCTGACAAACTACAAATTAATCAGACAAAACATAGCAACAGAAATAAATCGGAAAACTAACCAAGTGGCCATATGCTTAAAAATAACATAAAATTTCAAAGAATAAATCTAACTCAAGCTAAAACAATTGAAGCCATAGCTATACAGATAACTCAAAAAATGCAAAATAACAAAACAAAAAACATAATCATAGCAACACTATACAACACACCAAAAAACAAACTGCAAACTGAAGACTTGGACAAAATATACAATTCTTTAAAAAAATACCTCATATCAATAAAATAATTATAGGCTGCGACCTAAATGCTAAACACCCCACTTGGAATAAACCAAACTTCTCCAAACAACACATCAATAGCGCAGGGAAAACCCTATTCAATTGGGTAACAAACATTCCCGAACTTACCATCTGCCCACCCAATGAACCAACTCATCCAAATAAAGGAAGAGACTCTTCTATAGATCTCTTCATAATCTCAACAATAACTGCATTCACTAACAACCTGCAAAGAGGCTGTACTGCTTTAAAAAACTTTTCCTCAGATCATCATGCAATAGAAATTTCAATAAAAATCGGTAACACACGACTACTCACTAACAAACCAAAAATAATTCATAAATTTCAACAAATTGACTCTATAGCCTGGAATAGAACAATTCTTCAAAACATAATTCCAGTACCAAACCTCACAAATTTAAATAAAAATGATATTGATCAATACATTAAAAACCTAACAATAGCAATAGATAAAGCAATAAACAATCCACAAGCCATACCGAAAATAAAAATCAATCCAAATACTACGAATCATTCAATCCAATTAGGACCGAACTGCTTGAAGCTCATAAAACAAAACATAACCTGAGAAGAATATTGCAAAATAAAATCATGACAATAACTAAAAATTGTAAATCCTTTATTAAACAAACTATACGAGAAATAGACTATCAAATTAACTTAATAATAGAAGAAACAGAACTCCAAATCATAAGATCAAGACTAGAAAAAATTAACACAAGCAAACTAAACCATAGAACACTGCATAACATTAACCCAAACTCAACCATAAAAGAACATCTCCAATCAAATATAATCCTGAACGACACTGAAAAAACGCAAATAGACATTCAAACAAACTCAAACATACTTACCTCCAATTTTGAAAAAATAAACGCAATAGCATGGTCCTTTGAACAAATCCATAAACAAAATGACAACATGACATCACAAAACACAGAACTAAGAGCACATAAGACAACAATACAAACAGAAATAGAACAACTAATTACGAACGATAACAAAATAACAACCTTTAACAATACACAAACAGCTGAAGGGAAATGGCAAGAAGCAATAGAACTAGGTTTCACAAACTCTGAAGAAATCCTCGAAATAATAAAAATAAAAATAATAAGAAAACATTAGGACCAGACGGAACCAGTAATTTCCTGCTTAAATACTTCAATATACCAGTTATTTCAGAAATATGCAACATTTTTAATCACTGCATAAACTGCTCTTATTTTCCCAAGCAATGGAAACATGGAAAAATAATTCCAATACAGAAACCAAAAACAAACCACAACATCTAAAAGCTATAGACCCATCACAATACTCTCCGCCATAGGTATGCTATTTGAGAAAGTACTATTGAAAAACATTAAACAAGAAAGGAAGTTAACTTCGCCACGCCGAAGTTTATATACCCTTGCAGATAGAACTTCTATGACTAGGAATCCCTACAATATAAATTATATATATTTATGATTAAAAACAATGAAGTAACACCTGTTTTCATTTCATTCACCTAAACATATTATATTTGCAGTTCACAGATTTGCATTTTTCCTCTACATTAAACGAGCGGGTTTTGTGTGAAGAATTACTTTTGCAAAAATTATATACAAGCATTGCTTGAAATATGTTAACTTTCTGTTATTTAAAAGCATACCAATTCTTAAAAATTTGCTTTACAAATATAGATCAACTTATTTTAATATATATTTTATATTGAGCAGTTTCGATCATCACCATTGTTGTGTTCTTTGTTTAGTAAGTTGTGCTGAATAAACTATTTTTGGGAGTTAAGAATACTTTACTATAAACAAATAAATGACACCATATCCCCGCTCGTCATGATCATCACGGCTCTTAAAGAGAGCTTGGAAGACTTTTCGAGATCAATAATAAGCTAGTCAACACGGCCAAGGGTATGGTAATTAAACAATAATTTAATATAAACCATATTTTCATCTTGACTTTTTGGGCCATGTTTTGGTTTCAATTAGCAAGAGATATTTTGTTAACGTCTTACCTTAATTAAGAAAACTATAATTTTTATGATTGCCACATCCACTTGATCAAAGTCTATCAACCACCAAGCACTAGATTAGTAATTTATATAAAAGAAGAAGAAGAAAACTAAACTTCCTCTAGCTAGAGCCTTGCTTAAGTGTAAGACTTGAGAATCGCAGAGGAGAGAGCTCAATGTACCAAATAATTAAGTAAAGCCTATCTTTCAGTCGAAAGCTTGAAACTTAGTGAAGGAGTCATTTCCGATCCTATTATTCATATATATTCTTGATCAGCATCAACAGCCGACTCGATCTAGCCATGGTTGCCACATCCACTTGATCAAAGTCTATCAACCACCAAGCACTAAATTAGTAATTTATATAAAAGAAGAAGAAAACTAAACTTCCTCTAGCTAAAGCCTTGCTTAAGTGTAAGACTTGAGAATCGCAGAGGAGAGCGCTCAATGTACCAAATAATTAAGCAAAGCCTATATTTCAGTCGAAAGCTTGAAACTTATTAAAGGCGTCATTTCCGATCCTATTATTCATATATATTCTTGATCAGCATCAACAGCCGAATCGATCTAGCCAGGTCCGGCATAAATTTAATTTTTTCATATTTTTTGACAATTTTAAATTTTTATAAGGGGTATCGTTAAATGGTGAAAAATTGACGAAAATTTGAATTTTTTTAATTTTTAAATTGAGTATGCAGATTTGTTACCCTAATAAAAACTGAAATTAATGCATTTTTGGCTTAGTTATGATATATTTAATATTTGACCTCTTAATACTTAGCTTACTTCAAAGGTATTAAGAAAATTATTCATGTTTTTTTTGTATATAAAATAAGTTTTTAATATATGATTAGTGTACTTACCTTGAACTTCTATGAGTAGGAATCCCTATAATATAAATTATATATATATATTTATGATTACAATGAAGTAACACCTGTTTTCATTTCATTCACCCTGTTTTCATTTGCAGTTCACAGATTTGCATTTTTCCTCTACACCAAACGATCGTTTGTTTGGCACCTATATACTGTCGTCCGATTTTCATGAAATTTTACACAAAATTTAAGATTAATATAAAATGGCTACACCTCAAACTTGATGATGATCTGTTTAAAACTGAAATAGTTGTAATTTTTAATTGTATTAATTTCTCGATCGTTCCTATGGGAGCTATATGATATAGTAGTTCGATTTTCATAATTTAAGATTGTAGAGTATAATAAAATGGCTATATCTCAAATTTGATAAAAATCTGTTGTAAACTGAAAATGTTATAATTTTTTTTGTAAAAATTTTCTGCTCATTCCTATGACAGCTATATGATATAGTCGTCCGATCTGGCCCGTTCCGACATATATATGAGTGAGAGTATATAAAAGCTAACTACAAAGTTTCATTAAGATAGTTTTAAAACTGAGAGACTAGTTTGCGTAGAAACGGACAGACGGACAGAAGGACAGACGGACAGACGGACAGACGGACAGACGGACATGGCTAGATCGACTCGTCTGTTGATCCTGATCAAGAATATATATACTTTATATGGTCGGAGGTGCCTCCTTCATTGCGTTGCAAACTTCTGACTGAAATTATAATACCCTGCAAGGGTATAAAAACATATACAAGAAAATAATGTCCTAAATGAAGGCCAATTTGGCTTCAGGGAAGGCATATCAGTTAGCAATGCCTTCCATAGAGCTAACACCTTCATTTTCAAAAACATCCATAAAAAAAGAGGCACAGTAGCCTGTGCCCTTGATTTCGAAAAAGCATTCGACACAGTTTGGACTAATGCACTGATATACAAAATGAAATTATTAAACTTCAATCATAACATACTCAAAATCATCCATAGTTACCTAACTAATAGGACCTTTCATGTCACAAGCCAAAATCAAGAAAATTCCATAATAAGAAATATTACAGCAGGAGTACCACAAGGATCACTCCTAGGACCAATATTATACAATATTTATCTTCATGACTTGCCCAATTATATACAAACCCCCAAACCACAGTTGATATAATCCAATTAACATATGCAGATGACATTCTAATTCTCGGCTCTGGGGGCTCCACCGCAAGCCTAGAAGTAGAGTTCAACCTATATTTAGACAAGCTTTCAAAATATTTCACAAAATGGCAATTAAAGCTAAATTGTGATAAATGCACTAGCTGCTTCTTCAAAGGACCTAAAATCCAAAAACTATATAAAAATTCAAAATACTATAAACCCAAACTATTCATATATAATAACATTCTAATTAAATTCAATAAAGAACTAAAATATCTAGGGGTCACGTATGACGAAAAACTAAACTTTAAAACACATATAGACAATACCTTAATCAGAGCAAAAATGAAAACAAAAAGCCTTCTTCACATATTCATACCTAACAATAACAGAAATAACAAATTAGAACAGATTCAAATACTTACCTACCGCAAATTAATTCAACCAATCATACTATATGGCCATGCAGCATGGATGAGCATTAAATCAAATTTAATGCAAAAACTAAGAATTTTTGAAAGACAAATACTCAGAAAAGCCATCGATAATAACTGTAAAAAAAACATATCAAACAAATTAATCTGCAAACGATCAAAGACAACTAAAATAGATGAACAAGCCTTTAAAATCTTAGAAAACTTCGTAAAAAACAACAACAACGACCAAACAGAAATACCAAATGATTACCCCATTGAACTGATTACACTAAATCACTTAGAAAACTTAAAAACAAAAAACATCATTTATGATACAAACAAAAACTTAATATTTTACCATAGAAAAAACAATTCAGTAAATCCAAGAGACGGTTTAATATACCAGTAATGTAAACTCCCCCGTAAATATTCCACTCCCCTTTGTGAATGACATCTTCGAGCGTATTGCTGCCGAGGCTTCTCGTCTGGCGCACTACAACAAGCGCTCTACCATCACCAGTCGGGAAATCCAAACTGCTGTTCGCCTGCTCCTGCCCGGAGAGTTGGCTAAGCACGCCGTCAGTGAGGGAACCAAGGCTGTCACCAAGTACACCAGCTCCAAGTAAATTTTCTCGCAGATGCGGAGGAACATTAAAAAGGCTCTTTTCAGGGCCACAACAAGTTTTACCAAAGAAACGAAATTTTCAAGAGCCTTATTCTTATTTAATACATAAATAAATGTAAAATTTTTAAAACTAAGTTCTGTTCTGCGGTTTTATAGGGTTAATAAATGTGCAATTTCAATATATATTATTAAAAATGTTCCAAAAATGTAGTAATATATTTTTTCCTCACGACCAACGCTATATCGATTCAGTTGTTGATGCTGATCAAGAATATATATGATTTATAGGGTCAAAAGTTAAAAGTGAAAAAGTGGTAAATAGTGAAAAAGTGTAAAAGTGGAAAAGTGAAAAAGTGGAGAGGAGCCTGACAGAGACAGAAGTAAAGAAGAGTAGAGAATCAGTGAGTGAGACGGAAGAAGTGAAGTATAAAGGCGCTGCAAGGCATGTGGCTGCATGTGCGGCGGCAGCTCGCAGGGCAAAAATAGGAAGTGAGACAATAGTGAAGCGCAATGATCAGCTAGAAGTAGCTAGTGAAGAAGAAGAAACAATAGTGAAGAAAGCGGAAGCAAATAATAATAAAGCCAATGAGCAATTAATAACCAGAATTAAAACAGTATCAGAGCAAACATTAGATGCTAATGAACAACAACAACGGGAAGAAAATAATAATAAAGAAACAATAAAAACCTCAACTGTGCAAATAGTGAATCAGCAACAAGAAATACAAAGTGTTCAACCAATAACAATACTAAAAGTAGAGAACATACAAAGAATACAACAAATACAACAACTACAAAAACAGCAAGCACAACAGCAGCAGCAACTACAACAGCAACCACAACAGCAACCACTACAGCAACCACAACAGCTACAGCAACAACAACAAAAGCAACCACAACAACAGCAAATAAAGCAACCACAGCAACAAAAGCAATCACAACAACCACAACAACTACAAATACAGCAACAGCTACAGCAACAACAAGAACTGCAAACACAGCAACAGCAACAACAACAGCAACTACAGCAGCAACAGCATCTACAACAACAACAGCAATTACAGCAGCAGCAGCAACTAAAAAAGTCTACTTATACAACTCAATCTAATGAAACAAAACTTGGAAAGAGGCGAACAGAAATAAAAAATATATAATCTAATCCTAAAAAACGATCTCAAATACCAGAAGAAGATCCAATGAACTGTGACCAAATATATGAGATGGAGGTCGATACTCAAACTAACAAGCGACACTACCAGACATCATCAGATGACAACAGCGATGACGACTACGACTCTACTACCAGTGAGGAAGAAGAAGACCAGGATGAAGGTGAACAATTCAAAATCTTAATGAATGAATTTTGCAGAATAAAAACAATCAACGAACAATATCAAACACCATCAGCAAAACAAATTACGACCAGCCACTAGCAGAGCTCGACGAATGCGAATTCCCAGCCTTAAAACCAATAAGCCTGAAACCCCAGATGACAACAAACAACAAAACAACAAAGAAGACTTCACACGCACAGATGACAACAGCAACAACAGCAACTGCAGCAGAAGCAGCAGAAGCAGCAGCAGCAGAATCTGAAGCAACTTTAAACAACCTACCGGTAATTGTCATCTATAATGTCAATATACGTAAGATTAGAAATTTGCTACCATTTAAGTACACTGTTAACATAATTAATAAGAACATAATGCATATTAAAGTATATACTATTGAAAATCTGAATCTAGCAAAAACCCTCTTCTCAAAAGAAAATTTCCTTTTCTTCACATACACACCAAAACAGTTAAAACCACATAACATAATTATTAAGAAAATCCCCCCAGAAATCTTTGATAAAAGCGAAATTAAAGCAGCCCTTAATGATATCTTACCTGAGTTACAAATAATCTCAATAAGCCCCTACAAAGAAAAATACTGGCAGGTTACTATAAAAAAATCGCCAAATATTAAAAAAATATTCGAAATAAAGTATCTTCTTAATTGTAAGGTAACCATAGAAGGCTTTAAGCCTCACCCAAATCATATTAGGCAATGTAAAAGATGCCAAAGATTTTCACACGTTGCTAGCAACTGTAATATGCCTTATAGATGCATCAAATGCTTAAAACCTCATGGTCCAGGCAACTGCGACCTTAAAAACCTGATAACAACAGTACCGAACCACAAAATACAAAGCCCCAATGTGTTAACTGTAAAGGAGAGCACACTGCAAGCGCGAAAATATGCCCCATTAGAATAAATCTTATTAAAAAAATTGCACAAAAAAGAAACCTAAGTGATCACAAAACAAGTCAAAATATTTTAAAAAATGCACAGTTCAATAATAAAAGATTCTCTTCACTATTCCAAAATAGTGAACAGAATAACACTAACCTACATAATCACACATTCGACAGTCCTCAACAAATTACTATAGAAACAATAAACAATGACACCATCAAGACATATGGCAAAGATCTTGTCACTTGCATAAAAATAATGCAAAAGACTCTAATAAATTACCCAAATGCAAGTAACGAAGAAGACAAAAATCGGATAATACTCGATTTTATATTCAATATGGCACTAAATAAGTGAAGCTTAAATGCATCTTTCTTAATATAAACGGCATGAGACAGCTCAAAAAAAGAGCTGAACTCAATCATTTCCTGTCAAAACATAAACCCGATGTAATGCAATTAGCTGAGCACCATCTCAATCAAACTAACTCACCCATGCTGACAAACTACAAATTAATCAGACAAAACATAGCAACAGAAATAAATCCGAAAACTAACCAAGTGGCCATATGCTTAAAAAATAACATAAAATTTCAAAGAATAAATCTAACTCAAGCTAAAACAATTGAAGCCATAGCTATACAGATAACTCAAAAAATGCAAAATAACAAAACAAAAAACATAATCATAGCAACACTATACAACACACCAAAAAACAAACTGCAAACTGAAGACTTGGACAAAATATACAATTCTTTAAAAAAAATACCTCATATCAATAAAATAATTATAGGCTGCGACCTAAATGCTAAACACCCCACTTGGAATAAACCAAACTTCTCCAAACAACACATCAATAGCGCAGGGAAAACCCTATTCAATTGGGTAACAAACATTCCCGAACTTACCATCTGCCCACCCAATGAACCAACTCATCCAAATAAAGGAAGAGACTCTTCTATAGATCTCTTCATAATCTCAACAATAACTGCATTCACTAACAACCTGCAAAGAGGCTGTACAGTTTTAAAAAACTTTTCCTCAGATCATCATGCAATAGAAATTTCAATAAAAATCGGTAACACACGACTACTCACTAACAAACCAAAAATAATTCATAAATTTCAACAAATTGACTCTATAGCCTGGAATAGAACAATTCTTCAAAACATAATTCCAGTACCAAACCTCACAAATTTAAATAAAAATGATATTGATCAATACATTAAAAACCTAACAATAGCAATAGATAAAGCAATAAACAATCCACAAGCCATACCGAAAATAAAAATCAATCCAAATACTACGAATCATTCAATCCAATTAGGACCGAACTGCTTGAAGCTCATAAAACAAAAACATAACCTGAGAAGAATATTGCAAAATAAAATCATGACAATAACTAAAAATTGTAAATCCTTTATTAAACAAACTATACGAGAAATAGACTATCAAATTAACTTAATAATAGAAGAAACAGAACTCCAAATCATAAGATCAAGACTAGAAAAAATTAACACAAGCAAACTAAACCATAGAACACTGCATAACATTAACCCAAACTCAACCATAAAAGAACATCTCCAATCAAATATAATCCTGAACGACACTGAAAAAACGCAAATAGACATTCAAACAAACTCAAACATACTTACCTCCAATTTTAAAAAAATAAACGCAATAGCATGGTCCTTTGAACAAATCCATAAACAAAATGACAACATGACATCACAAAACACAGAACTAAGAGCACATAAGACAACAATACAAACAGAAATAGAACAACTAATTACGAACGATAACAAAATAACAACCTTTAACAATACACAAACAGCTGAAGGGAAATGGCAAGAAGCAATAGAACTAGGTTTCACAAACTCTGAAGAAATCCTCGAAATAATAAAAAATAAAAATAATAAGAAAACATTAGGACCAGACGGAACCAGTAATTTCCTGCTTAAATACTTCAATATACCAGTTATTTCAGAAATATGCAAAATTTTTAATCACTGCATAAACTGCTCTTATTTTCCCAAGCAATGGAAACATGGAAAAATAATTCCAATACAGAAACCAAAAACAAATCCACAACATCTAAAAGCTATAGACCCATCACAATACTCTCCGCCATAGGTATGCTATTTGAGAAAGTACTAATGAAAAACATTAAACAAGAAAGGAAGTTAACTTCGCCACGCCGAAGTTTATATACCCTTGCAGATAGAACTTCTATGACTAGGAATCCCTACAATATAAATTATATATATTTATGATTAAAAACAATGAAGTAACACCTGTTTTCATTTCATTCACCTAAACATATTATATTTGCAGTTCACAGATTTGCATTTTTCCTCTACATTAAACGAGCGGGTTTTGTGTGAAGAATTACTTTTGCAAAAATTATATACAAGCATTGCTTGAAATATGTTAACTTTCTGTTATTTAAAAGCATACCAATTCTTAAAAATTTGCTTTACAAATATAGATCAACTTATTTTAATATATATTTTATATTGAGCAGTTTCGATCATCACCATTGTTGTGTTCTTTGTTTAGTAAGTTGTGCTGAATAAACTATTTTTGGGAGTTAAGAATACTTTACTATAAACAAATAAATGACACCATATCCCCGCTCGTCATGATCATCACGGCTCTTAAAGAGAGCTTGGAAGACTTTTCGAGATCAATAATAAGCTAGTCAACACGGCCAAGGGTATGGTAATTAAACAATAATTTAATATAAACCATATTTTCATCTTGACTTTTTGGGCCATGTTTTGGTTTCAATTA